CATCCATGAAACACAAAAGGAGAGATTTGGAAGAAAGTTCATGCTGCTCTTCTCAATAGAATAAAAACAATATATTTTTTTTAAATCATGTAATAATCTAAATTAATGCTGATTTACAAATATATCCTATTGTTAATTGTTAATTTATGTTCTGCAATAATAATAATAATAATAATAATATATCTTAATGTACATAATATCTTAATCCAACTCGAAATGTATATGTAAAAAATAATATTGGCTATTAGTATTGATATTAGCTACTAATATTAACTACTTAGGTGAACAAGTGTTGTAGGCATCAATTTTAGTGACATGCATAAGTCCTGTCCTTGAGCTAGGAACTTTGCCCATGATGCTCTGGGGCACAGTTATAATTTAAAGACAAAACTGCACCTCAAAGAGACTGTATAATCACACCTCTTTTACTCACATTCATGTTCCAAACCCAAACCTTCCTTCATCCATGAAACACAAAAGGAGAGATTTGGAAGAAAGTTCATGCTGCTCTTCTCAATAGAATAAAAACAATATATTTTTTTTAAATCATGTAATAATCTAAATTAATGCTGATTTACAAATATATCCTATTGTTAATTGTTAATTTATGTTCTGCAATAATAATAATAATAATAATAATATATCTTAATGTACATAATATCTTAATCCAACTCGAAATGTATATGTAAAAAATAATATTGGCTATTAGTATTGATATTAGCTACTAATATTAACTACTTAGGTGAACAAGTGTTGTAGGCATCAATTTTAGTGACATGCATAAGTCCTGTCCTTGAGCTAGGAACTTTGCCCATGATGCTCTGGGGCACAGTTATAATTTAAAGACAAAACTGCACCTCAAAGAGACTGTATAGAGAGTATTTTAAGCCGCTCTGGACTAAAAGGATCTGAGATAGAACAAGTAGCCAGATGAGGCAGCACAGGTCACGGCAAGCGCTCAATAATTTAAATAACTGACTTTCAATGGCATCAATTAATATACAATTTCAATTTAAACCGAGCAAGACGTCCAAGGTCTCTGCAATGCAGCAGTACTCATTGCAGGAAGACGCGCTCGCTCAGGATATGAATTGTAAAATCATCTAACAGCAAACATGACCACTTCCTCTATGGATACTGTGTCCCAAAACGAGGCAAATGAGAGATTTGCATGTAATTATACAGAGTAGACACAAGAAACCAGTGTGGGTGAATGTATAAAAGTGTGGCCCAATTTAAAGTCTCAAATCTCGTCTTCACAGGAGGGATATGGACTTGGAAAATGAGGACAGGAAATTAAAGCGTACCATTATATTCAAATTCTCCAAAGCGTTGTAATTTATACAACATGCATCGGTTTGAGTGGGAATAACAGGATATAATCTAAACTCCCACTTCAGGTGAGCAACCTCAGTACAAAGACGCCGAACGCAGCGCTGGGTCCCGTGGCCCCGTACGGCCCCGAAGAGCAGGAGTGAATAGAGCGTACGCCAGCAACTGAAGACAAGATCTTCTATTGTGCCGAGGCTGAAATCGACGGCTTCCTTTATGGGATTCGGCCGCATTGACACAAAGGGATGGAAAGATTGTTCTGTTGGAGGAAAAATGAATCGATGTGTTCATCGCCAATGCTGTCCAGGGAACATGAGAATAGATGAGGAGAGAGAAGAAATTATGTAGTAAGACGGGATAAAACCACACCAAACTGGTACAAACCCAATCTCTACGACATGTTTTAGGAGAGGAAAAACACAACAGATCTTTAATCTGTGGTTTATTTGTAAAATGCATATATTATTATTATTAGTAGTAGAAGTAATAATAATAATATAAATATTATATATTTATATTAAAATACATTCGGTAAAATATACATTTAATTTTACTTTCAATTATTATTATAATTAATAATAATAATATTATTGTTGTTGTTGTTATTGCATTATAATGAAATATGCATTTTGTACTATTATAATGACTAATAATATAACATTTAATAATAATTATTATTATTATTATTATGATTATTAACATCATATTGTTGTTATTAAATTATGTAGTATATTATTATTATTATTATTGCATTAAAATATAATATACATTTTGTAATAATTAATAATTTCATCATTTAAAATACAGTTAAAGTCAAATTTATAATAAAATTTATATTTACATAATTTATTATTATTATTATTAATATTAAAATGTTTAATTTATTTAACATTTTAAATTATATCATAAAAACTGATACATTATTATACATTTAAAACTTGAAATGCTACAATTGTACATAAAAATTAAAATTAACTAAATTAATAGCAAGAGAGAGATGGAAATGTGTGAGAAATCTCATTATAGTTTTCATAGTTTCTATGCGAGGGCCGTCAGCTCAATCCACAAATGAAAAATACAAAGATCTCATTACAACACCAGAGATACAAACAGGAAGTCACAGGATGAACATGTTAAATCGAATCTCGTCTGTCCAACAGCATCACAGCTCTGTGTAATTGCAGATGAGACTGTCAAACAGTAAGACTGTGTATGATTCAACAGCTTTGAAACACCTCAGTGTGTCTAATGAGTAATGTCTGAATAATCACTGACGCTTGTGACAGCAGAGGGGCTTTTAGAGACCCTCAGAGCCTCTATGCCATGACAACAAGAACATATCAAAGTGAAGCTAATTTACCTCAGCGACAAATGACGCACATACATATAGCAGATGCTGAATGCTAGATCACCCTAAGCCCAGACACGGGACAAGTTCTTGAGGACGGAGGCTCAGTGGGGTCGTGAGTAGCCTGAACACCTTTTAACTAACCCTCCATCTCTTCCGTCTTCTCTTCAGAGAGATTGATCTGCTGCCCCAAGAACAAATCGCAGAAGGAAGAAAGGCTTTAGTTGCAGTTTTCCCCCTCACCTTATTGAGAAATAAAGAGAATTAAGTTCTGTTACATTTTAAAATATATTCAAATGAAAAAGTTATTTTATATTGTAATAATATTTCACAATATTACAGTTTACCGTATTTTTGATCAAATAAATGCAGCCTTGGTGTGCAAAAACTTCCTTCAAAAAATTTTAAATACTATATATATATATATATAATCTGTGAATGCAGTTTAAATGAATGAACAGAAAAAAAAACTTGTCATTATTTCCTCGGTCCTTCTAAAACCATATGAATTTCATCTTTATAATACAAAAGTAGTAATTTTTAAAGAATTACACAATTCTCCACAAAAGCAGCCCAGATAGTTTGCATCCAAGTCTTCTAAGGTCATGCAATAGTTTTGTGGAACAGACCAAAATAATTCTCTAGACATCTTGAAATCTGCTTTAGTTAATAATGAAGTAGAAATGTGCAATTTCTAAAAGAATCATTCTTTTAAGTCAGATCTAATCTAGTTCACAAAACTGATCTGAATGATTTGCTCACAAATTAGAGTGATTAGGAGTGAATCTTGTAAGCTTCAGTCCATATTCACTGTACAGTAATTGCGTGAAAAGTAGTTTTCACCAGTACATTACTGAAACTTTGCGGAGTGTATGTGGCCTTTATGGCACGAGGACAGGTCAAAGATGCAGATATGACATCATTCAACACCATCTGCTCTTCCTGGAAGCCTAAAAGTTCATCTCAAGACAAAAGTGCAGCTGTCAAAATCACTGCTGTAACTATTGGTGATGGATCTAAAGGCCACACTAATGCTGATTTTATCATGATCTTTTGCCATTCTGATATTAAACATGACTCTATCTAAGTGATCATGGAGGCAGCAGTAGAGCTAATATGACTACAGTGAACAGAATCTGTGTTGCATGTACCATAGCCACATTTTATGCACTAAAAACTAAAGTAGAGACTCTATACAACACACAATCAGTGAGTGTGACTCCTGAAAGGACAGAAAGCACCTCCGAGGCCCTTGGAGGATGAACATCTCTCATGGCCTGTTTCTCCTGCTTCTACATGGATGAAAAATGACCACCCACGTATGTGGAGCAGATCGAAAGAAAACGTGCTGGTTAAAAGAAGACCAGAGGAGAAGAACTGACCCACTGATCTCAGGGGAGGGAGACCTGCACTGTGTTTCACAGGTAATGAGAGATAAAGGGAAGACAGAAAGAGAAGTGCGAGTAAGAGAACACAAGAATGTGTGGCAGCAGTGTGGCAGCAATGCAGTACAATGATGACTGAGAGAAGAACAAATAGGCATTCCTCAAAATCCTGATGATCATATTTTATACTCACATTTGAGCATGATTTTTATAAAAAATAATGTATGTATAATCAAGTAAACCTAAATAGCATTAGTCCATCTTGGACTTGGACTCAGTGTTCATCTTGAACATTACAATATAAACATAACGACCAAAAATTATTCTTGGAAATTCAACAAAACCTCAGCAACAGTAAATGACTTCACCTGGTGAAACATGGTGAACAACAATGTTCAGAATATCACAGAAGCCCAAATATTTCATTTTATAAAAACACATGTACATGATCAACAAACATTACATTTAGTGAAACACTCACATCCCGGCCCTCAATCACCGGGACATCATTACTGTCAAGCAGGTGTTTATTTATTTAGGACCATAGGGTCTGGTCTGGTTTGGTCTGCAAACACAAATTCCTACAGGAAACACTGATTTGTGCTCTATCATATAAATAATTTTTTGTATAACGGCATCCGTCAGCGGTACAAAACATCCGACTCGATACGGTCCTCCAGGGAATCCCTCAAAATCTGACATTAAATTCATTTCACATGTTAATTTCCTTCTCTTCCCTCTGTTACATTCAAACAATCCCACACGGAGAACAATTCAAACGGATATCAGAGAGAAATCAATTTCCTATTGAACTACGGTACAGAAACTCTGTTTTGAGGCAAGAAAACCTGATAGCAGGAAACTGTAATCCCAGACATCATTTCACGCTGTAGTCGAGCTTCTGAAATGAACAAGACAACATTATTCAAAAGCACCTCTGATGGTTCCTCCAACTTGTGGAGGAACCTTGAAAATGTACATGCCAGCCCAAAACACCCAATTTTGGCCATTGTTGGTGTGGCGGCAAATAGGAAGTGCAGTTCGAAACCATGACAACAGACTTTTAATCATCCTCAGCTGTAAAGTCAAGACACAGATTACTATCAGATAACCTAGATAACAAGAATAAAAAGTTGAGGCTTGTGTTGAGTTTTTTTGAGAAAGTAAAAATGCACAAAGTTTCCTGTAAGGGGTAGTTTTAGGTGTAGGGTTGGTGTAGGGCAATAGCAGATACAGTTTGTACAGTATAAAAACCATTACGCCTATGGAATGTCCCCACAATTCACAAAAACAAACCTGTGTGTGTGTGTGTGTGTGTGTTAAACAGTAAGTCTATAATTTATTATAATTGAATTATTATTTACGTTGTGCTTTAAACTGTATAATAACAAAAAGGTGACATCACTATTACTATTACAAAGTTTGTATAAATTCTCTTTTTTGTAAGTTTTTATTTACCTGTTATCATAGTACACTGAGCTATTTTGTCTCGAGTAACGTGATTTTTCATGATACGACCCCTTTAAAAACTCCAGTTGTTCTTATTTGTTCTTGCTTGTAGATGTTAACTGACGCACCATTTTATCATGTCCTAAAATTCATTGTTACTTAAGGCAACGCTCTGAATAACCTACATTAACGGCTCCTATAAGATCTCTGATAAAGGGCTGTGATGATTAATGAGTGTTGGATGTGTCATACTGCAGGGAGCTCCGGTGCTCCTCTGGTCCTGTAGGGAGTTAAACTCTCTCACCTGCAGAGGGAACAGATTTCACATGCAGATATTATAATGGGCAGCAGGCCTGCAGGGTGCTAAAGTAGGACACAGCTGGTTATACAGATGTCACCAATCAAGAGGCGTGTTTAGGCCCCGTGACAGAAAAAAAAAGTGGGTGCATTTCTGTTAGAGACGTTATTGATAGTGTAGCGTTCCTCAATTTCACTGAAATCCATTCATTTTGGTGGGAAAATGCAGGGAAACTTAGCACAGGGAAATTTGGTGCTTGCCGAGTGTTCATTTTAGGCCATTAAAACAAGTATTCAAAATGTGTAATTTAACTTACAATCTGCAAAGGACCTCACCTTACAAATGGTTGTTGAAAGCAAAAATGCTATGAAATGCATCATATTTTGTAAGAAAGTGTGACATGCTCAAGCAAAACAGGCACTATTTTTGGAATAAGCAACACAAAATCAGTAAGAAACGATCATTGAATTTCATTCAGTAGATATGACACAAAAGCGGTGTAATTACATTTAAAACAAGTTTAATTTGTTTGTAAGCAGTGCAAAGTCAAAAAACGACTTTAAGAGCAACAGAATGATCTGCCTAACGGATGCTGTGGGCTGCATGAACAGCCTAACGCTAATTCTGCAAATCAGACAGCAAATCAGTCAGGGCCAATGTCACATAGCGAAATAGCGCAATGTGCATAATTACATAATTACGTAATTACCCAGAGCGGAGTCGCGGACAGAAAGTAAACTTCCTGAAGAGAGATACAGAAGAGGAGAAAAGTCGTCTTCGACAAAATTAAGCATTTTTATATTCACCGTTGTCACAGTGATGTTTTAGGCCTAATTATTGAACTATCATGACGGAAATGAGAGTAACTGATGTGTCTGGAAAGTTGTTAAGCACTCATATAAATGTTTCCATGGCAACTAAGATTTATAATGTGAACGCCTCACTGTTTGCCACATTCCTACAGTACAATCCAGCGTGAAACATCACTGAGCTAAACATCATCTGTTAATCTGCACAAAAACCAGAGCAATAGAAAGTCAGAGAGAGAGATAGCTATAGATAACTATAACAACCCTGGTTGAAACCAGACAAACGGTCCGCTGGGGAATAGATCTGTATTTGGGTCAGAATGTAGCAGAACTGCTTAGTCCGTAAAAACACAGTGAGAGGAGACTTTTCAGGAAGAAAACGAGAAAGAAAAATGAGCCTCACTCTGACAGGCTGAAAAAAATTGTGTTGCTGCTCCTGCAGAAGACGTCACGAATCCAGGCTATTCTGTGCTGTTGCTAGGGGTGTTTCTATGTGGTTGCTAGGCTCAAGTAAAAAGAGTCCACCCTTAAGCTATGATATTTTGGTCTCCTATGATATTCAATGCATGTCTGTGGGATATTTTTTACCTGTTTAATCATGCAGCAAGTTAAAATTGTGCGTCTGATCACAGAGTAAAGTAAAAGCACACGGTTTGAGGAAACATTCATGTCTGGAGCAAAAACGCTTTAGTTACACACTGAAGTTTAATTCTTAGTGTCAGGGGTTTGTTCAAATCAATAACCCTCGCTATGAGAAATAGTAATAATGATGGCTGACTTGGCAAACGGCACTAAAAAGAGTAAACACTTCAAGACTGGCTACAGATGAAACTGTGGAGGAGAAGAACTTGATATATGATTCCACTAACTGAAAGATCAGGAAGGCAAATATCAAGGGTTTCAGAAAAGCCCTGACGGTTCAGAGAAACACTCAGACATGCACCATTATGAAAAGCGAGTAGATTCGTGGGACCGGACCGCTTCATCAAGGGTCACCGGCTCTTCAGGACAGGTCAGAGATGTTGAAGAGGTCAAGAGCAAAGATCTGGTAGAAGAGAAGCTAAAGAAAAACAAAACACACCTTTGATATGAGCGAGGCATGTATCTTCTTGATGATGTCGTCCATCTCCATGAGTTTGGGTCCTATCAGAGAGCTGTGGGGTCCGCTGATATGTCCGATGTGGTCCAGACCCAGATAATGCAGAATCAGAATATCCCAGTCATCTCGCTTCAGAGTGTCGTCCAGATGACGGGTCACATTATTGTCCACCTGACAGAACGAGAAGCAGATATTCAAATCTGAGAGAGGGTGAGAGGAAAATAGACAAATGAAGACTCTAAGACTTCATAAAAACATAACATAAGCTTAAAGGGGTCATGAGGAATCAGACTGTGCTTGATGTTGATGTTATTATACTAAGTAACCAATGTAACTTTAATCCTATAGCATATTTGATATGCAAATTCCTAAGGCCTCTAAATGATCAACATGATCAAAACTTTGCTGAAAAACCTGTTGCACACAATCTACTTCATGTCTTCTGTTGTCCGATTGATAGTTTATACTTTTAGCAAGTAAAAGAGCTATTAATGTAACTGTAAAAATGTCCTCCTTCCTTGCTGTGAAATCTTTTCTGATTTTTATAAAGTAAAAGTAAGAATAACTTTTATATTGTTAGTAATATTTCAAGATGAACAATTACTGGACTGAAGCAACTTAGATTTACTTGATTATCCAGACATCATTTTTTAGAAAAATCATGTTCAAATGTGTGTATCAAATATGATCGTCAGGCTTTTGAGGAACGATTATTTGTTCATCGCTCAGTCATGCACTGCATTGCATTAGAAACTTCAGAGCTTTGGATCATAAAACTAAGCATTTAAATATCATCTTACTAAGACATATTATTGGGAGATATAGAGTGACAACTGATGTGCATTTTATGTACATTTTCTGCTATACTGTTATAAAGATCTCATTGATTTACAAACAAACTTTTTGGCTGTATAAATATCAGCATCTGCACTAAACTGCATATTTTTTCTCAATTAGGAATAAAATCGAGGTGGCTTTTGCTCATATGAGCTCCATTTTCTCAAATATCATACTATATGAGCCATAAAAGGCTGACGCCTCAACTATGATACTAAAAAAACAAAAAAAAACATATGCAAACTTTCTGATTTTTGTCTATAGGTTCAATAAACTTTACAATTTAAAAAAGAAAACATTTCTATTATTTCAAATGTCAGGCTTTATAGGGTTAAGAACTCAAAACTTTCTCCTCACTTCCTCTTACGAAATCTTATGGGAAATCTTTCACCCTTACATGATTTTCCCAATCTCGTTGATTCCTATTGACATTACTGGATTTCACCCAGAAAGATTTACAGAACAAACAGTAAGAGTCAAACAACTTCGAGATTAGATCTTCTCACCTCTGTGTAGTCGGACACAAAAAATGAGGTAGTGCCATCATGCTCCATGAAGTGTTTGGGGAAGAGTCGAACCCAGGTGTCGTCGCCATAGAAGATGATCCGTTTGCCAGCACTCTTGGCCTGCCAGATGAGATTGTCCTCCAGCAGAGCTGGAGAGTTCAGGTTCATCACCACGTCTATGAAGCCCGGGATGCTGCCGGTGGTCAGAGCCTGATGACGGACATATGAGACAACACAAATATTGCCGTTTAAGAAGCCATAAAATATCTTTACTGTCCAAAGAGGCCTTAAAAGAAAAGTTCACCCAAAAATGTAAGTCCTCTATACATATGGCTTTCTCCAACTGAATCAGGAGAGAAATATGCACGGATCAAGAACCGTTCACAAGTGTAAACAGTCCAAAACAGTCCTAAACAAATATGTTGGTGGATTTTGATGTGAGAGGACAACAGGAGATGGAATTTTTCACTGGAGGAAGCAATGTTATTATGGACAACGGACTGGTATTTTGGCCAGAAGTGGCGGTTTAAAGTTAACCCCAAAAAAAGTCTTAATGATGGATTTGTTTCTTACAAACACACATATTGCTTCACAAGTAGTTAATTGATGGACTGGAGTAGTGTGGATTACTTGTGGATTATTGTGATTTTTTTTTTTTCAGCTGTTTGGACTCTCATTCTGACGGCACCCATTCACTGCAGAGGATCCATTTGCGAGCAAATGATGCAATGCTAAATTTCTCCAAATCTGTTCCTATGAGGAAACAAACTCACCTACTTCTTGCATGGGCTGAGGGTGAGTACATTTTCAGCATATTTTCATTTTTTGGTTAACTATTTCTTTAAACCATTAGAAATTCACTTCAGGGAAGAAACAAGCAGAATATAGCCTCTATAAAATTTCAACTGCACCATTTAGGTCTTGTAAACAATTCAATTTGATATTTCTACAGTTTTGACAGCTGATATAAAAGAAGGCAGAGCACACCAGAAATATAGCTTTATGGGGGAAAAAACACTGAAATTTTTGACACGAAAAGCCTGTTGTTTTCGGTGTACTTAAAAGATTTCTTGGCTCATAAAGTCTCATATTTACACAGTCTTGTTATAAAAAAAAATGTGAATCTGAATGTAAATGACCAGAGACACTAAAATAGGCCAGATACCTCATTAGCTATTCTGGGAACAGAACCACAAATTTACAAAATCTTTGTAGTCTCACGCAGAGAAAAACACAACCCCAAACCTTTCCCTCACCCTCCTGGAAAACCGAAACATAATTCCCTCAGCCGTTCCTCATCTCTCAGGACCGACATCATCTAATGATGAAAACTAGGAAAACAACACACGAGGCCACCCCTCCTATTTGCGGTGTAGATTATAATGAGGGTATTGATTGCATGTCTGTTAGTGTACACAACACAATTACTGTCATCTAGCGTAACATGCTTCTCAGAGACAATTAACACAGAGAGACGAGGGGGAAAAGACAGGGGAAAAAACAGCAGGTGTCATCATAAACATCACTAGATCTCGGTCTTATTAGACTAGTGCTAAAACAGGTGTTTCCATCACTCCATCTGTCTCTATCATATTGCTTTTTTAAAATATAATAGTTTGATGTATTATGTAGACAAGAAGGTTTTTGAAAGAAGTCTCTTCTGCTCACCAATGCTCTATTTATTTGATTAAAACTACTGTAAAAATAGTAATATTTTGAATTATAATTACAATTTAAAAGAACTGTTTTCTATTTGAATATATTTTAAATTGTAATTTATTCCTGTGATGCAAAGCTGAATTTTCAGCATCATTACTCCAGTGTCACATGATCTTTCAGAAATCATTCTAATATGCTGATTTGCTGCTCAAGAAACATTTCTTATTATTATCAATGCTGCATCATATTTTCGCGGAAACCATGCTAGATTTTTTCAGGATTCTTTGATGATTAAAAAGTTTCAAAAGAACAGCATTTATTTGAAATAGCATGCTTTTGTAGCATCATAAATAATTATTTAATGTGTCCTTGAAGGTTAAAAGTATAAATTTCTTTCAAAACTAAATAATCTTAATGTTACTGTACAAAATAGTTGCAGCACTAATTTTAATAAACAGTATAAAAAATGTTATATTTTTGAATGATGTTGCAAACAATTGCATTAATTGCAAGTCAAGTCGCCTTTATTTTTATAGAGATTGTTTCAATGCAGTTTGTTTTAAAATTGCCATTTTGAAATGATTCACATGAATGAATCAAACTCAGGGTCAAACATTTTAATTCAAAGTCACACTAAAGTTTAATTCAGAGACCCTATTAAAACATCAGTCTTAACATGCTCACCCTCAAATCAATAGAAAGCTAATGGACAAATAAAATCTCATTAAAATCACGGAGATATTCTCGCAGCTGTTTGGTCCTTCCTCTCGTTGCTCCATTCGCAGATCTCACAGAACCTCCTTCACTAACCAGACTCCGAGCTTTTCAGAAATCACAGGCTAATTGTTTTACTCTTGTCACATTTGTAGTGAAACATGAGCAATTAGAGGATTCTGGCTCCCCTCTGCAGTAGCTTTATGCCGTAGCATTAGAGCTGCTCCTAAAAGCATTCACAGCCAGAGAGGATGCCAGTGGCTTTGCTGAACAAAAAAAAGCATTTCTGCCAGAAAAAAAAGCCCTAAAGTTTCTCCATACAGTTACATCAGCAGCAGCACATCTGCTAAATGAAGGATCACTTTCCGAGACTGCTGGGCACTTTTTGAAACTCAATATTCATTTGTGAGATGGTAAACATATTAGTGATTCAACTATTTCATAATAAATTCATAGCTGAACAGTGTGCCTAAAGAAGTTGTGAAATTTGTGAAACTATATACTATAGTTTATTGGGGAAAAAAACCCTGGCCACCTAGCAACACCCTAGCAACCACTCAGAATACTACAACAACCGTACAGTAACACACTAAAAATCGTTGAGAACACTTTAGCAATAAGGAGGTGACTTTTACACAGGCATGATGCACCATTTATGTTACATTCATAAAAATGTAAAACACTGATCTAAATCTAATGTTTTCTCCACCTTTTATATCCCAGAGTTCAACAAACAATCAAACGCCCCTGATAAGGTCTGTAATCTGATGGGTTGAGGATGCAGACTAATTTGAATGTCGGAAACATTCACTAAACTCACAGCACAATTTAAATGCAGAATATTATCAGTCTGATCAAAGCTGAAACACTGAAGCTTAAATGCCAATAACAAACTTTGTCAAATATATTTGACACCCTGATCTCAATCAATAAAGTTCATACAGACACCAAAAACAAATATCTAAGAAAAAAATCATGCATTTTTGTTTAACAGTATGATGAATGAAAAATATTATTACCCCTACGGCAGGGGCGTATCGTCTGGGTATGCAGGGTATGCATGTGCATATGGGCCCGGGCTGATTGGGGGCCCGCCGACGGGGACGAATTCTTAATTCATGGCCACAATAAAAATATATATATACTGTATATATATTTTGTCTGCATGTCATGTGCAGGGCTCGGTAATTTCTTGTGTTCATTTATTATATTGCTGCCGTATACTGCGTCACTTGTTAAAACTACATGCAAACGCTGCATTGCCAGGGCCAAATAAAATAAAAATTAATAGGCCTAATTAAAAAATAAAAAAACCTGTGTGAGGTTGGTAGCTAGCTAGTTGAAAATACTGTATCACAACTGTATCACATAGCTTCAGCAACACCTGCACAGTTTTAATTATCTTTCTTTCATTTTAATTCTCTTTTATCAAAAGACTATCGAAAGCCATTCTTTACATTGAGAATACACGAAGCCTTAAATTAAATACCAAGGACATTGTGGATGAATTTGCCGAAAGAAAGGCCCGGAGAATTAAATTAAATTAATTACAACTAAAATGAGTGAGTAGTTTTTTTTCTTTCTTTTTGTTGTTTTGCGTTTTGGGCCACTGTGCCAAGAATGTGTTTGCATTAAGTAATTTAGTAAATATGGCGGTGTTTTAGTGCCATAATATTTTTAGAATAAAGTCAAAATGATGAGATTGTGTTATATATATAGTTATATATATATATATATATATTAGGGCTGGGTTTTGATACAAATTTCACAATTCGATTCGATTATCCTTCACAAGCTTGCGATTCGATTTGAATCAATATCGATTATTTTGGATATATATCAGGTACAGAACATGGCATATTCTCTCAAGGAAAAAAATCTCTCAACTAATGCTGTAAAATAAGCATGAGTCAATAATATGGAAGGTTGAAATTTGCAGATTTGTATACACTCTAAAAAACGCTGGGTTGTTTTTTCAACCCAAATGCTGGGTTGAGGCTGCTGGGTAAGGATGTTGGGTTGTTTTAACCCAATTTGGAGAGGGTTATTAACATATTTACATGTTAATTCGGTATCTTCTTTTTCGTGGTTAAATTGAATGTAGTTTCCTAAAGGAAACAGCGTTATGTAATAAAGACTAGCCTAATTATTTTGAGGCTGATGAAGTGATAATTGTTAAAGTAATGTTTTGCATGTTATATTTCAGACTTGTTGAGCTTTGTGTCTTCATTCCGCCCGCGCCGGGAGTTAACGACACAGAACCCTGCTTCTGTTGTCTCCTGCCTGTTTACCTCACATTTTGATGTGTTGAAAGCCAGAGACATAGGAGAGCATCATTCTTTTGAGATTGATGCAAGTTATTTTTAGAAAATAAATGTTTCTGTTGTCTCCTGCCTGTATACCTCACATTTTGATGCAACAACAGTATTATTACATGTTCATATTTTATGTAAACCATTGATGTCTGTGTTTTTCATTGCAGAACTCAAACCAACTTTGGAGTTGTCTGATTTGGAGAGTCATCGTTCTTGGTCTTCCTTTCTTAAAGGAATAGTTCACACAAAAAAATAACTATAAGACTTTTGTCTATCTTTAGAACACAAATGAAGATATTTTTTTTTTTAGAGTGTGCCCTGGATAATGTAAAAGATGTCACATGCCTTTGCTGTGCTGCTGGGGCTTCTTCATAACTACATCAATTATGCTAAAGTTGGCAGTGATGCCTGATCTGTATTCATGGACAAACTAAGCATATAATTTGTAAAAATAAAAAAAAATGTTAAATGCTTGTTCTGTGTTGTTGTTTAGTAGAAATGGAGTTTACACTCTGTCATTCA